TTTGATCGTGTGAGGGTAACCACAGCTGCATTGAATTAATGAGTGCAACAGCCATGCCATGTCCAAAAGACGGCAGCATTTCACAGCACTCCTCCCCAACCTCTGGCTCTCACATTCTTTCTGCCATCTCTTCCAAGATGTTGGGAGCCTTGGGACAGGGGTTCATATAGATGTCCTATTTAGGGCTGAGCACTTATAGTCACTTATTTTCAGTACTTTGACCAGTTACAAGTCTCTGCATTAACTGCTGCTCATTGCAAAAGGATGTTTCTCTGACTAAGGCTGAGAGCAGCACAGGTCTGAGTATAAACATAAATATTTATAAGGCAGTTTGACAACATGATTATTTAACAAAGTAACAGTAGTAGGTCCCCTGCCCCCAGGGCCTGTGACCTCCCCAACTATGGGCTTTTTGACTAGGTTTACAGTACCAGGCATGCATTCTTTCCTGTGGAGCAGGCCTCTCATCCAACCAGAAAGTAGTTGGTTACTCCTGTGGTAGTCATGCCACTATTGTAGGAGTGGGTTTATCTTGCCTGGCAGACTCTGTATTGTAGCATACAGGGTCTAGCTCTGGGTAAGACCATTGATATCTTTTCTCCCCCAGTGGTGTGCATAGCACCTTCTGGCACTATAAAAGCTAGCCAAGGAGGAAGTTTTCTGGTCAGTTTGAGATTGGTTTCTCTATGTCCTGAAACTAAAGTATGTGGTAATAGGGTCTTACCATCTTGTTATGGTGGGCAACCCTGGAGTACTGGGGAGCTTTGAGAGTTTGAGGGCTGTTAGGTTCAGGTGAGCAACTTCTGTCTGCTCTCCTACTTCCCATGGCTGACTTTGCAGGTGAGGCCCAGCACAGGTGTGCTCCAGGAGGCTGAGCCAACTTGGGGTTAGTGGCACGCTTTGACAGAGCTAGGGACACTTCGATCACTAGTAGTCAGTGAAGGAAGAAGGGAGTCAGTGGGAGAAGGAGGAAGCCCTGATGTTGTGCTGTTCCCAAAAATGTATGTGTGGACTAATGACTATCAACCTCATCAGCCTCCATGAGGCCTGGCATGGGTCCTCATAGGAATGGTTGGCTCTTCTCATAGGGAGAGAATAGACATGTCACTAGTCTACATGTCACTCTATTACCACTTTACCCTGTTCCTGAGCTGAGGATGGCTAGATTTATTTGTTGGCAAGACAGGCCACCATGGTGTGTACACACACACACACACACACACACACACACACACACAGTTCCAATTTTAGGCACAGTCCATTCTCTCCTTCCTCTTATTCTTCCCCTTTCTCTTCTCTTGATCATGAAACATTATAGTGTTTTTATAGAGATGCCTCCTCTTATGCTGTCACTGATCTAGTACCTTCTGTGTTGCCCATGGTGGTTGTTCAGGTTTGCATGGGTAAACAGACTAACACAAAGAGTGGACTGTCCTCATGGGAGGACAGTGGGAGGTATTTGCTTGGCACTAGCTCAGATCCAGTGAGGGCTTCGTTGACCTGGCTGAGGTTGTTGAGTTCACTGTAGACAAGGTGCTGCCAGCGATGATAAGGATTCTGGTCTGGAAGGGGTGGGGTCTGGTTACCTATCATGTTGCCAGGACTCCCTGACCTTACCACACTGATGCTCTCTGGGTGTGGTATAGGTGTTGTGACTTGTATGTTTGGATGTTCTGCATGCCCTTGGGTCATGAAGATAACCTTATAAAAATCTGGGCTGTTCTTTTGAGGTCTCTGCTTTTAAGAAGCTGCAGAGAGATAGATGATGGTTTGAGGTGATGAAATCTTTCCACTGGGGTCACTGCATAGTTTCTTCTTGCTGGAAAAGCTCCTCAGAGACTCATTTCAGGTATTTTTTTTTCCAGGAGGCCATCTTGCTTTCCCATGACTGAACAAACCCTTGGTCTTTGGATATGCCTAGTCCTCATGCATCTGCCTCCCACTTAGAACACATTGCCACCATCGTTATCTATCTTCCTTCCCATTACAATAGCCCCTTACCCCTTATTAGTCACAGCTTCATTTTTCACACTTTTAGTCAACTGTGGCCTGAAAATGTTAAATGGAATATTCCAGAAATAAACAACTCATAAGTTTTAAACACCTTTTATTATACCTTCTTGTAATGATTCTATTTTATTTTTAGTTATTGTTAACCTCTTAAGGGGCTTGATTTGTAAATTAAATTTTGTATTATTTGTATAAATGGGTATACATGTATAGGAAAAATATAATAATGTTTAGTGCTCTGTGGTTTCTGGCATCCAAGGAATGCCTTTCCATGATAAGGACTACTTAGTAATGTAAGGAGATGGCCTAGGCTATAAATCTCACTCACCCTTTTATATTCAACAAATAACATAATGCTTGGCTTATATAGTCCCTCAATAATAGTTCATTGACTGCATAAGTGAATGCATATGAATTTTGGCCATTTTGCTAATAACTAGAAAAAATTAGATAAGGATCTTAATACTTTCACTCCCAAATTATAGAGCAATAATTCTAGAACTTAAGTGTATGAAAATGGCAAGAAGTTGCAGACACAGAGAACAAAAATGTGGAGGCAAGTATGTACTATGTGTAATATTTAAGGAAGCAAGCCTTCCAGCCTGATTGATTGGGACAAGTTGTTTAACCTTCTGAAATCTCAATTGTCCATTTGCACATTGGGGGTGAAAACATTGTAATGCTTAGGGTTGTCCTAAAGATCGGACAAGAGTAGGCCTCTTATGCTTAAGCCTTCTGACTATTACACGTTCATTACTGAGGTTGCTGATACTGCTCTTGATATTCTTTAGACTGGCTAGTCAGATGATTTTGTAAAATCATGTTCTGCGTTGAACCTGACAGCGGTGGTCTTGGTTTTTAGCTCTCAGAGCTGCCTCATGTTTAGAGGAAAGAGATCATCACATGCCCTCTCAGAGGATGTGAATATCTTTTAATTTTATGATTAAACCTCTTCTCATTGACCTATTAAATTGCTCAGACCTCAGAGTGGGCAAAATGTTTCCTATATTTCATTTTATAGTGAAATTGGACATGAGCTAAGTACTTATGCTAATTTCAGGATTAGTATGGCCTTGATTAGGGTGTGCTTTTTCAGTGATTCCTGTGTAGTTGGCCTCCGATAGCGATAAAATGCCACAGTTTTGATTATTTTGAATCATAAGTGTATAATGAATTGCCGGGCATGGTGGTGCACGCCTTTAATCCCAGCACTGGGGAGGCAGAGGCAGGAGTTCAAGGCCAGCCTGGTCTACATAGTGAGTTCCAGGACAGCTGGGACTACAGGGAGACTCTGTAAAAAAAAAAAAAAAAAAAAAAAAAAAAAAAAAGAAATGGTATAATGAAATAAAATGATTGCATCAAAAAGGAAATGCATCTCATGTGAAATGAGTCTTGTGGAAATATTTCCTCATTGAGTCCATTTGCTTTGTGAAGTAGGGAAGGCTAGCCACAAACTGGTTCATTTCAGATGGATGGTCTATGAGAGTTACAGGTTACAGATTCAGACATAATCTGTAATTTCTCTATTGTTTTCATTTATGACCTTACATTCTATTACAATAAATTTTCATGTGTAGGTAGTTATTCTGTAAGCCATAAACATGAGAATCTTTGTAACATTTTATGCTTATATAAGAATTAGTAATACCCTTTTAGAAAAAAATAGTTCTTTTTTACATCACCTTGCAACTGAGTTTCCTCCTGATTTAATCCTTTACTTTATTAGATTTATGTAGCCTATGTCTCTATTTGATGGTGGCCCAGTCTATTCTGTGAGAGTTGGAAAATTAATTGGTTAAAAATCCATGTAAGTGCTTTTTTATTACTCACATGAGACTGACTTTAGCATAGTGGTACTGTAAGGTTTTTTTTTTTCCCTTCAACTTTTAGATGTAAGTATACTTTTTCAATATTTGAAGGTATTTCACAATTAAGCACTCATTACTTGGTATGCATTGAGGCAAGTTCTTCATAAAGCATAGCACTTTAATTTATAACAAAAAATGGGAACATTGCCAAGCACAAGGAGTATTCACAACATCCTGAATATATTGTGGGATAATCATCTTAAAGCAACAGTGTACTTAGGGAAGTTGAAGCTGCTGTTGTGGGGCCATAAAATTCTGGATTTATGCCCAGCTTAGGTGTTGTTATTCTTAGTGAGGTAAGCAGGGGGAAAAGGAAGTAAAGAAGATCATTATATTGATTTGATTTTGGGATATGGTATTTCATGCCAATCAGCATCTATTTTTGGAATCAGCATTTACCCCTCCAGAACATTAGGCTATTTTAATTGTTTAACTATCTCTTTGAGGTTTAGATAAGCACTGGAAAAGAATCAATACTTTGTTTAAGCAGAAATATTTGAGCTGTGTATGGGGGGGTGTTTTTTCAAATGGTGTTCAATAAAGTTAGAGAGTTGAGAGCTAGATCATTTTCCGCATAAGCCAGCGAAGGCTTTAGTAAGCACCCCATGCTATTATTTTGAGAGACATAAGACTTTTTTTTGAATAGAATTTAAAAAATTATCTGTGAGTGTTTTTTTTTTATATTTGTTTATTTCCTCTAGTTCTATAGGATGAGAAGTACACAGTCAAGATATCCGTACATAAACACTGAATTTTACATGTGTAAAATGGAATCATGCCACCTCTCTTTCAATTATACTCTTAGTTTATTAGAATATGTATGCTGGTTTCATTAGTCTTATTCAGAATGTTTATGTAGATATTATCTCAAAAATTTAAGCTGTGCTAGTTATTATGTAAGTCATGTCTTAATATGGTAATTTAGTGTCTGGCATGCTAAGGTAGAATGAAAATCAATTCTTAAGGGCACAAATCTTAAAAGAAAAGAGCTGTTTTAACTTGTGTGAAGTTTTCTGTCAGAAGCTGGGCTCAGTTTCCTCTCCAAACCCCTGGGAATGCTGTGGCTCTGGGGAGACACTCTCGGCTCTAACTCTCCTGTGACTTCTGCTCTTTATCTCACAGGCATTCTGGAATTTATCAGTATAGCAGTGGGCCTGGTCAGCATTCGTGGTGTGGACAGTGGACTCTACCTCGGCATGAATGAGAAAGGGGAGCTGTATGGATCAGTAAGTGCCAACAGACGCTTTGTCTGGGAATGCTGTGGCTCTGGGGAGACACTCTCGGCTCTAACTCTCCTGTGACTTCTGCTCTTTATCTCACAGGCATTCTGGAATTTATCAGTATAGCAGTGGGCCTGGTCAGCATTCGTGGTGTGGACAGTGGACTCTACCTCGGCATGAATGAGAAAGGGGAGCTGTATGGATCAGTAAGTGCCAACAGACGCTTTGTCTACTTCCATGTCCCCCCCCCCTTTTTTTTTTTAACTTTTTGAGAATATCGTTTCATTTTCATTAATAAACCTCAACTCTGCATCTTCACTAGACCAAATTTGCTAAGAAAAACTGCTTTGTTGCCAAAGCATTTTCATTATCAAGTAAATAAAAATTCACAAGTGTGAAAAACCCATCTTCTTGTACTGAATGGGTGTTATTTTTGAAATGAATTGAAATGATCTCCCAAGCTTTGCCAAGCATTGTAATTAAGACTAGAAATAGATGGTGCAGTGAGAGTCTAAACTCTTTCTCTAAACAACACAAGATTTTCATTATGCAGGAGAGAGGGAGTTGGAAATTATTGTCAGTCTTGTATGTGACTAAGAACATAACAGCATTGTAATTATTTCCAAGCATGAATTTCTTTTTTCTCTAGTCTCTCTTTCCATCCTTAGGTTGGAAGGTCCTTGGAGGTGATGAAGTTTTTTTTGTGTCCTGCTAGGTGTCAGGAACTGTGCTTGATGCTGGGGTGTGGCTGTGAATGACACAAAGTCCCCGATTCTGCTCTGTAGGAGGGTGGCTGACTTTACTCCCTTGTGTCTGGTTGCTTCTGGTAGCATAGGGGCAAATCACAGTGTGTGGAACACAGTAGAGATTTAATGTCTTTGCTAAACCTCTGAGTATGACTAATGGATTATTAGTTTCTATATTGAACTAAATATTTCAACAGTAAAGTTTTTGTAACAAATTTACCTTGAGCTGTCATTTTAATTATTGGTGGTCAAGTGGTCATTTAATCCAAGTTACCTGAACTATGAGAACTTTGATTAGAGCCTACAAAAAGTTGAGAATTAAAAGCAGCTCAAAGTAGGAAAAGTTCTGGCATCCTCAGCTTATAGAAACAAAAGGGAAACACTTTCTAGATACACTCCTTTACTGTCCACATCCTATTTCAAAACACACACACACACACACACACACACACACACACACGTAATGCAGAGCTTTACTAAAATATTGCAAATGGAAAAAATGATACTCTGCTAATTTGAATATAGCACATACTTAGAAGTTTTTAAAATTTAATTTGAGTGTGTAAAAGAATATGTTTCATTGTGATATTTGCAGATGTATATCATTGAACTTGGCTTGTATTTGCCCTCCCCATTACCCTCCCTTGCTTCTCCCCTTCCTGCTGGTTTCATCTCTCCCACAAGACGTCTCCTTCTGTTTCATATCATATACATATGTGCGTTTAAGAAATATTGCTAACTTTAAATTCCACATGTGATAGGAAGCACGCTCTGTTTGCCTTTGATCCTCTCATTATCCTTCCTTTCCATCTCTTCCTCCCTTTAGACCCCTTTAGCTTCATGGCACACATCATACACAGACACAGACACAGACAGACACAGACACAGACACACACCACATAGACACACAGACACATACACATCACAAATAGACACACATCACACATGGACATACACACAGACAGATATCACACACAGACACACACACACTTCACACAGATACATACACATCACATATAGACACATATCACACACAGACATACACACAGACACACATCATACACAGACACACTTCATACAGACACACACACATCACACATAGACACATATCACATACAGACATACACACAGATACACACAGACGCACAGGTACACACACACAATCTAGGTTATGCATAGGAAAGAAAAATGTGGTATTTGCCTTTCTAAATTTGGCCTATTTCGTTTAGGATGATGATTTTCAGTTCTATCCACATTTCTTCAAATGACACAATTGATTCTTCCTTATAGCTGAATAGATCTCCATTGTGTATGTGTGTTACATTTCCTTTATCCATTCATCTGTTGATGAACATTGAGGCTGGTTCCACATCTTGGCTGTTGATAACTCACATTTTTCTTAATGTCACAGGATATGATTTTTCTGCTTTGGAAAAAAAATTCAACTACAGGTTAGTTGGTTTAGGTATTTGAAGTGCTTCTTGACATTATTTAAATTTTATTTATTTTTTAATTTTTATGTGTATGAGTGTATTGCCTGCATGTATGTGAGTGCACCCGTGTTGTGCAATGCTGCAGAGGTCAAAAGAGGGCCTCGGATTCCCCTGGAACTGGAGTTAAGGACGGTTCATAGCTGCCATGTGGGTGCTGGGAATCGAACCTGGGTCCTCTGCAAGAGCAGTCAGTGCTCTCAACCACTGAGCCATCTCTCCAGCCTGAGAGAGTACATTATTTAAAAATGTTTGTTAGGCATAGAATCAAACATAGCTTTTGAAATATAGCTCTTGGCATGGGGAAATTTCTTTCCTAAGTGAGTTTTGCTGGTATTTTTAAGTACAAAGAAAGATATAAAAGATACAAGATAAAATAAACTTTTAAATAGAAAATACAAAACAATGTTCTCATTTGACACTCTTAAATTTTTCATTTTTAGATATGTGATGTGGATTTAACTAAACCAATCCCAGTCGTACTCAATACAATGTTTTGTATATGTAGAACAGAAATTCTATCTTTAATGAGCAGAGGGGACTGTAGTTTTCTTTTTTTCTTTAGTAGTATTTATATTTTGAGGCATGGTCTCACTATGTAGCCCAGGCTGGCCTTGAGCTCACGGCAATCCTTCTGCTTCAACCTCATGAGTGCTGAGATTATAGGCATGAACCACAACACTTAGGTTTATCACGGTGATCTCCAAACTTTTCTGATCACATATTCCTACCTAAAAAGGTGTTTTTTGACTATACATCCAATATATGCATATTCAATTATTTTAATTTGTATAGAAAATATAGTTTATATATAATATTATAAAACATACATCAAAGTGTTTTTGCAGGGTGTAGAGATTGACTTAACCAATGTCCAGGCTGTACCATTTGTTCCTTACTCCAAGGGATTGCCTGGTATGCCCTTCTAGAATGTTCTCTTGAATGATGACTATCTTGTCAGATGATGTGGTCACCGTAGCTCATGCTCCTGAGGTTTCTTGGTGGACAAGGAGTATACATCTGATTCTGTGTTCAACAAAGCTGCCTGCAGGACTGTACTGGGTTGAACTTTTCTCCCCATTTGGATGATTTCAGTGCTTTTGGAGTTGTCTCTCCCCCATGATAGCTGCCCCCTTGCCTGTGTGTACTCCAGTGCATGGCACAGTGCCTAGAACAGGACCAGAAGTATACTGAATGTTGAGCCAATGGAAGCCAGGGATGATGCTACAAGAAGTAGGAGCCCAAATTTACAGCTCTGTCAATCCTAGATGTCTCCTCTAGGGCTTTTTGAGCTCATATAGTAGGTGGCTAAATAGATTTGTTAGATGTGGTAGCACTTGTCTATAATCCCAGCACTCAGGAGGCCGAGGCAGGAGGATTGCTGCAAGTTTGAGGGCAGCCTGGGCTGCTCAAAAAACAAAAACAAAAACAAAACAAAAGAAAACAAAAACACCAAAAGCCAAACCCCAAACCCAAACAAGTGAAATAGTAGACCTTCCCCTGCCTTCTACATGGCCACACAGCTAGCTGACAACCCCGATTTGAATTCCAGTGAAGTGAAGGCAAATGGCTTTTTCCTTAGTGTTTTGAGAAGTATACACCTTCTCATGTGTTGAGTGTCTTCAGGTTTGGAAATTGCTCCAAAGGGAAGCGTGCTGCTAGAAACACTCTTCCACACTATAATTTCCCTGCAGAAACAGGCTTTCAGAGGCTTCCCCACCCCCAGGCCACTCCCTTCTCTACAACACTGGCAGAATTATCTTCAGCATCTACCCGAGGTCACTTCTCCACAGAGGGCCCTTCAGTGCTTGCTTGGAAGCATAACGCCACCTGCATTCTCCAGCATAGCTTCTAGCACTTTCCACAGACTGCTTTACCTGTCTGCATCATGGTGGTGTCTCTTACAGCGATTTCTCCATGTCATTTATGTCTATTTGCTGTTCTCCAAACATGACAGGCAATCTGACCTGTGCATGTGGGAAAGTTAATTCCTCCCTCTGGAGGAGGAGGAGCCTCTCTTTACTTTTCTCTACTTGATGAAACAGCACTTTTTAATTAAGATCCAATGAAAATATTATTCCTGCAAAGCTTTCTTCACATGCCTAACTAAAGTTAGCTTATTATAGTTAGTATACCTTGTGTTTTCCTCAGGACCCCAACAATGCTTTGTTTTACAATCCCATCGTTACACAGGGAACAATGCAATTTGTTGTGGTGTTCTGTAGTGGATCCAAAGTGTCTGGACCATCCTACATTTTGATTCTTTTTTTATGAAAGATACTTTATTTATTATTTTTTTATTTTTTTATGTGTATTTCCTGAATGTATGTAAGTTTACCTGTGTCATGCAGTATCCATGGGCGTCACGCTCAGGACCCCAACAATGCTTTGTTTTACAATCCCATCGTTACACAGGGAACAATGCAATTTGTTGTGGTGTTCTGTAGTGGATCCAAAGTGTCTGGACCATCCTACATTTTGATTCTTTTTTTATGAAAGATACTTTATTTATTATTT